AAAGAAATCAACCAGCAACAAATGCTGGAGGGACTGTGGGGAAAAAGGAACCCTTCTCCACTGTTGGTTGGAGTGTATACTCTTGAAACCATTGTGGAAATCAGTGTGGAGATTAAGATCTAGAGGTCCCATTTGACCCAACTATTCCCCTTCTGGGTATCTTCCTGGAAGAATTACAAGGATCATACCACAGCACTAGATGCACACTCATGTTTATAGCAGCACAATTTGTAATAGCTAAATCTTGGAAACCACCCAAATGCTCTTGAACTGAGGAATGGATAAAGAGGGTGTGTTTTTTTATACAATGGAGTACTACTCAGCCATAAAGAAGGGTAAGCTTGAGACATTTCTAGGTAAATGGATGCACCTTGAGACCACACTCTTGAGTGAAATAAATCAGACACACATGCGTAAATACTGCTTTGCCTCCTTGGTGTGCACCAAGGACTAAAATGTACAACAGATATTGCCAAACAGGAAGAGGTTTTTCAAAAAGAAATGGGAACTAGGGAGCGGGGAGAGGGAAAGGAAGGAAGGGAAAGAAAAAAATGAGAAAAGAAAGATGAAATGGAAACAAAGCTTTGTAAATAAGGAGGAGAAGAGGGGGTGAAGGGGGGGATTGGGAGAAAAAAGGGGAGTCGAGCTATATCATATACAGGTACAAATTCCTATGATGAATGTGATCATTATGTCTATCTAAATTGTACCAACATATTTAATAAAAACATGTCACTTGGGACCCTGAGAAACGCACTCACCCAATGAGGGGAAGTGTGATGAAAGGGCATGCCCCTGGAAGCCTTGTTGCAGGACTGAGGATGTTTGGGCAGAGGAGGCAGGCCTGGGGGGATCATTTGTGCCTTCATCATTTAGTGAGGGCCTCCCCTGCCTTAGAGGAGCTGTGTCTTGGAGCAGCTAGAACGACAGCAAGGCTTGCCAGATGGGTGGAGGTCTTGGTAATGGTGACACCTACCGTCCACCCTCTGGATCTGCGGATTCAATCAAAGCTGGCTCAGAAATATGTTTAAAATGCACCTGTGTTGATCATGAAGACAGTTGTGTCTTGTCATTTCTCCCTGAGCAATAGAGCGAAGTCAGTATTTCCACAGCATTTGCGCTGCATTAGGTATGTAACGTGTAGGTGGGTTCTGAGTAAGTCCTGTGAAAATCTCCACCACTCTCCGTGGGGGACTTTCACAGAGCAGAGCGTGGCATCTGCGGGAGCCAGGGCCCCAGGAACAGCTGAGCTATCAAGTGGCAGGCAGTTCTCCTGGTAAGGACAGGCAGAGACGGTTTCCCACCGGAAGTCCTGGAGCCTAGCCTGGCCACCGTCGGCCATGAAACTTCTGTGGGGGCTGGGGCCTGACTGCCCCGGTGGTAAAGTGGCTTTGGGGGAGCCCGGGTGCCTTGTCCCTCCGGGGGTTAACTTCCAGTTTCAGTTCCTCCATGGGGCCAATCTGAGCAGCTGCATAGCTCAGGGACCCCTGGGCAGGGTGTCTGAGCTGGGAGCTGCTCAGGCCACAAGGGGGACAGTCAGGGACGGGAAGCCAGCACGGGCAGGGGGAGCCCTGGAGGGGGCGAGAGCGGGGCTGACCCCCAGCACGGGCCCTGGCCCTGGCAGCCCCCAAGCCACATGGTCTTCCTGTTACTGACGACAAGGTGTCCCCCTTAACTTAGCCAACAAGAGCCGGCCTTCTGTCCTTACACCAGGAGTCCTGGTACAAGCGTCACAGGCCTGTGCGACTCTGCCACTCCTTCCCTGACTGGGGTGGCATCCGCAAAGCCCGGAGCTGGTGATGACCACGTGCCACGCGTGGTAGAAATGCCTGTCCTTTGAGTCCCGCACTTGAGGTGAGCACCACCCCAGGGGACAACGGACAAGAGAGATTCAGTGGCCGCAAACAGAAAACCCAGCCACCCAAGCAAGGGCCCTGGGTACCGCCGCCTGCGCTTTCTGGGCTCCTCGGGCTCCTCGCTGTCCTCTGGGCATCCTCAGCCACCTGGCGGGCACCCGCTCACACCGCTGCTCCTGACTGACCCCTGTGGCCTGGGTGGCCGGGGGCCCCTGGGCGGCGGAAGCCCGCTGTCCCACACTTGCATGGCGGCCGACCAGTCCCGTGGTGGCGGAGGGCTGGGAGCAGGGAGGACCGCGGCAGGAAGAGGCAGACACACTTCTGGGAGGTGCAGGATGGGCATGGGACCGAAAATCGACGCCCACAGCAAAAGGCACCCCGGTGTCACCTTCCTTGCCTGGGCCACATAAGGGTCCTGTCCTCTGCGTCCAGGTCATGGACAGCACGGCAAAGGAGACGGGTGACTCCTCCCGCAGCAAAGCTGCTGGGACCAAGCCCAGCCTTTCTTTTCCTGAAACTCCCAATTGCCCGCTCTTCCCGCTTGCCCTCCCTGGTCGGGGGCAGGAGCTCAGCGTGGTCCTGGACAGGTGGGTGTGGGTGCCAGGCCCGCCCACCGCCTCCTCCCAAGGGGAGGACAGTGGTGGGCGGGGTGGGGCGGGGCAGGTGGCCCAGGTGTGCGGAGGCCGTCCTGGGTTTGTTCCCAACATGTAAACAACCAAACAAAAGCATTAGTGCTAAAGAATGGCCTGTCGCCATGGTTATCAGGAAGTGGCACAGTGTACCTAATGAGGGCTTTAGCAGACGCCAGGCCATCTGATATTACAGTCTGGGGCCGGGTGAGAAAGGCCTGGTGTCACTCTGTACGCAGCTGTGGGGCAGCACAAAAAACACCTCCATCTGCAAAAACCAGCTTTTCCCTTACTGGGGAGCTGGGGCAGTCAGCCTTCCTTGGCTAGCACGAGGCACACAGCAGCCTGGAATGCACAAGGCCTGACTGAAAAGCACGCGAACGCTCAAGTTTTAAAATATTTCTTACAGCAAAAGACACGCTGCCATGGGTCCCCTCAGAATCCGCCCCTCGCTCTGAGCACACTCGCCCCGCCGTCCTGGCCGCTTTCTGCAGCAGCTCTGGAGTCCTCTTTCGCGAGTGTCTTTATGAGGTGCGATCAAAAATGCAGTGACTGCTGCGGGCGAACGCATCCAACACGACGCTGTGTCCTCACCCACTTTATTCACCGGATCTGGCACCATGTGGCTTCTGACTCTTCCCCAAACCTGAATGAGGGCCTCGGCATCTTGGCGTGAGTCTCCCGGCACTGGAGGGGCAGGGGCGGAGTTAGGGGGTCATCTCTTCTTTGGTCCTCAAATTTATACCCAGGACAGAGGTGCCTAATAAGGATCAAAAAGAAAAATGCCATTTGCCCCTGGCCTCTTTCCAGGAGGGCTCCTCCCAGCCCCGCCACCAGCACCCCGGGCTGGGAAGCCGCGCCCGGACCCGCGGACCGCGTAGGGGAG